CTCATGGGGAGTATGCCGCCAAAATACCTACAAATGAGAAGATGTCGAGACCTCCGTGTTGGGGTTAGAAATAAGAAATTTTGGAATCCAACACTGAGTTACATGACCTGTAGAACCAGTAGGTACAAATGCACTGACAAAATCAGAATCAGACTTACCTGAAAAATTACCTTTTCCTTTCACAAAATTCCAATTTGAATTTCGCACAAAATTGCCCCAAGGCTAGTATGACCGCCGCTGTACCTGCGGTCTGACCGGGCCTGGCAACCGGTCTGACTGCCGGTTCAACTACGGTCTGACCACTAGCCGGTCTGATCGACTGGTCAGTGTCGATCTAACCGTGGTCCTCGAATTAAAACCCGATTTTTGCCAACGTCGTTTTGCAAAAGCAATTTATCTTTCCTTTTTCTGTTTATGGGCAAGTCTAAAACAAAAACCAACCAAATGTCCATCTTTTCCACAAAAAGAACAAGTGTACTTCTCACGACAAACTTGTGAAGTAGATGGTTTTGAAATTGATGGTTTTGCAGCAACAGAAGGTTTTGCATTCACAACATTTGATTTTGAAGAAGATGCATTCAAAGAAGACATGATGCCAGCAGATTTAAACACAGTGTTCTTAGGCTCAGTTTCAATCAAAATTTCACCTCTCCTAGCAACACCCAAAACATTAGGAGGATGTCTAGCATGATAAGCATAAGAATCAAAACCTAAACCACGATTATGTATGCTAACCTTAGATTGATCAAGAATCATGTTGAGGTTCTTTTTACCATCAGAAAATCTTTGCAAAGAACTTTTCAAATAAGAAACCTCCTGAGTAAGAATAGCACAATTTTTGCAAGCATCCAAAAGACATTTTTGTTTTCTACAAGTTGAGCAAGAAAACACCTCATCTTGTTTAACAATTACTTCCATGTGTTTAACATGCTCTAAAGCATCTTTCAACTTTAACTCATTCAAAACACACTTTGAACAATCTTGAGAAATCAAAACACCATTATTTTGTTTTGCCTTATTTGCACATGAAGCATTGACCAAAGAACTTGCACAAAAAGCAACTTTGTATTTTTTTCAAAATGTTCTTTGTCAAAATCAACTCATCAACAACACAAGCATGTAAAGCAAATCCAAGAGCAAAAGAAGATTCCAACTTTTTAGATTTTTCAATCTCAAATTCCAATTTTTTGCAATTAAGAGAATTGACATCTCGCAAAGCATTAATTTCAGAAAATAAAACTTCACAAGATTGACAATTATCATCATTAGGAATCAAAGAATTTAATCTAGCAATTTCAGCATTAAGAATCTCAGTAGTATGATCCTTCTCATCAAGCTCAATAGAACATGTTTGAAGTTTCCTAGCAAATATGTAAGCAGCATATTCTAATTGATCATAACTAAGCTTTTCTTCATTATCATCATCAGATTCATCAACATCAGAACTTGCATTACGAGCAATAAAAGCTAAATCAACAACTTGCTTACCTTTGCCCTCATCTTCATATTCCGGTTCATCAAAAACTTTTATGAGTTCTTGGATTAACCACTGCATGCAATGCTTCTTCTTCTCCTTCTCCTTCATGTTCTTCTTCTTGTTCAATTCATCATCTTTGACTCTACCATCATCTTCTTTCTTGCCTCTCCCAAGCTTAGGACAATGCGAGCGAAGATGATCAAGTGCACCACACTCAAAACAACGATTTGGTTCACCTCTTTTCCTATTCCTAACATTTTTCATAGGTCGAGAAAATTTGTTAGATAACAAAACCAAGTCCTCCTCCTATAATTGTTCAAGTTGTTCATCGGACATGGCATTAAATAAAGCAAGAACAGAAGACTTCGATGAAGAACCACCAACATCCAAAGAAGTCGAGGAAGAAACCAAAGCACTTGACTTAGAATCAACTTTACGAGCAAGAATATTCATCTCATGAGTTTTCTATTTTGTGTAAAGCGAATCCAAAGTCAAAGTAGACATGTTAACAGACTCCTGAATAGATGTAACTTTCATCTCCCAAATAGACATGTCAAGACCATTCAAAAAGTGACGAGAAATCTCAGATTGTGGATAATTAGCATCGTAAGAAGAATCAACAGATCTAAGATCACTCAAAATTTTATTAAACCGAGAAAGATAGTCATCCAAAGCTTCTCCAGGTTTCATCTCAAATTTAATATACTCCTTTTTGAAAAAGATCACGACGAAGTTCTTTAATATTATTTGTTCCTTGATGAAAATTACTCAAAGCAGTCCAAATCTCATGAGCAGTTTGAAGATGAGCAACACGATCATAATCTGAACGAGAAATACCACTCAAAAGAATATTGCGAGCTTTGCAATTTTATTCAAAAGCAGTTTTTTCAGCATCAGTATTAATAGCTTCAGGAATCACATAAGGATGAGAAACTTTTCTCCAAATATCATAATCTTCAGCCATAATATAAGATTGCATCCTACTACACCAATGAGAAAAATCCGTTCCATCGAAAACATGAGGCTTAGTTGAAAACCTAGTGGGAGTAGCCATGGCAAAAACTCTAGATCGATTAAAATCCAAAGAAGAAAACAAGACTCTAATACCACTTGTAGGATTGAATCACAAGAACTAAGCCAACCAGAAGGGGGGGTGAATGGTTGGTATATCCAAAAACCGAAAACTTTTAGTGGAAATAAAAGTTACCCTCGAATTCGACGGAAGTCGGTCTGACCGAGATTGATCTGCCGGTCTGACCGAGTGGATGCCCCCGGACTGACCAGTATAGATCACCCGGTCTGACCGCCGATGTCGCCTGCCGCGCCTGTTGCAGCCACCGGTTTGACCGCCGTGCTCCCGCCGGTCTGACCGCCGCCTTGCCGCCGGTCTGACCGCCGGTGAGTTGCTGGTTAGACCGCCGAAACCCGGTGAAACACAAATCGAAGATCTCTAAAAGTAGATGACAACTTTATTGCTTCTCTCTGTGTTTACAAAGTGCACCAACAGCACTCCTTACAAAAATCTCGACTAAACTCGAAACCCTAACTAAACTAGCAACTCAATTGCTCTCAAAAGCGATACAAAAGCGATACCGGGAAGCCTCACGCTCCCCCTCTATTTATACATGAGGTAGGCAGCCTAAAGCCACGAACCAAACTTATACTAAGAGTCCTAAACACCTTAGGAAACCCTCTAGTACAAGACATAAACTTTACATAACCAATCATACCTAATTTGGACTCCTTCCAAATTCGACTCCGCATCCCATACGCACACAATACCTCCATCATATGCCATATGGAATCTTCACCAACCACGTGCATCAACTCTAGCCTTAGTATCCCGCATGATATCTGACCACCACAGACATCGTCTTACCACCAAGCCGACTCCCGGTCCATCACTGCAAATACTCTCCCGAGGCATCGAGTCACCTACATATGAAACAAACAAAGAAACCATATTCCGAGACCAAGCTATCCCCAACTTGACTCATTGTTAGCAAACAATAGTATTACATACGTATAGCATCCATCTAGAAGCCATAACCATGAAACAATCACGGATATCCAAAGAAACAACCCAAAACCGAAATCGACACAGCGTCGGCTAGTCAGACCGCGGGCCGGCCGGTCTGACCGCTACACATGAGCCGGTCTGACCGGCAACAACCGCCCGGTCTGACCAGTCCCAACAAAACCGACAAAACAGCTATATCCAAAAACCACTTCGATAGTAATCTCCAAATATCAAAACCAATAATCACAGATGCCAATTGTTCATCACAGAATAAGAATCAAAACACACATTGATCTTATAGTCAGCTCCATGACATGGCTCAGGACACTCGTCATGACACATGTGGCGTTGAGAGGGGATGAGTGGTCCTACTGAATCATTAGTCGTGGCATTGTCACCCATCTGCATCGACCAGTGCCCCCCCCCCCCCAAACCTATACCTTCCCCACTGTGGCTGCCATGTGCAGAGCAGTCTTCCCCTTGGAACCGTGGCGTGCAGTATCACCTAGAGCTTTGCACCGTCGAGGACCACCTGCTCAAGCTCTAGAATGGCAGGAGGTGTGGCTGTTGCGAAGTCCTACCATCCCCGACGTCTAGTGCCATGCGGAGTAGAGGTGCACAACAGAGAAGGAGGAGAGCATGAGGAAGTGGTCGCTTGTGGGAGTGTGGGAGACAGGAGAGCATGCTGCTGCAGGAGCATGATGCGGAGGGATCGATGTGGAGGAAAGTGGCTGCACAGCACCGTGCGGGAGTCTGACAAAGCACTTGAGAGGGGAGGAGATTTCGACCTTGAACTAGTTGAAGGCGATAGAAAGGGATCGGCGTACACGGAGACGGAGGTCAGCCACTTAATGTTGGGCTTGAAGATGACGGCGACAACCTCATCCTCCTAACACCAGGAGCTAGTCGGCCCATTGGCTTGTCCACAGCTATGGTGGAATTGGCAGCTAGGATGACGGTGGTAGTAGATGGATGACGGTTGGCCCTATCAACCTGATGGAATGGTACGGAATAAAACAATTCGTATCTTTAGTGGAAAATTTTGAAAGACACACGGATTTGAAGGTAAATTCTAGAAAGGCTTATGAATTACTACCTCCGCCCATTTCAAATCCCATCCTAGCGATATTTTAGGGCGGAGGAAGTAGATAACTAATAGTGCGTTTTCATGTCAGACAGGACTACCTTCTTCCCAAACTCTCTTGTTTTGTCTTTGGCTTGCCCTATAGTACGTTTTGTCTTTGGCTATCACAAGTATATAAATGGGTTTGTAACTAGCCCCTTCTCATTAAGAGCGAGCAGGGATAGCCCTTCAGAATATACTTAGAGCTTTTTTGGTGCCTGTAAAACAAAAAATCAGAATACTGCCAGTTTTGCAGCTTTGCCCATATCGGTGCCAATTTCCCTACTGGCCCATTTCTGTACTGGCGTGGGCTCACCTCAGATTATATTCTTTGTGTTGTTCTGATAATTACTTTTTTTGGCTAAAAGATATATGGATAATGAAAACCAAGGAATGTAACACTGCTTCCTTATCAATGTAGTTTGGCATAACATCCGAAATCTTAAAATGCATACTATATTTCATACAAGTCTTGTTGGTAGCACACTGGGATACCATTGTATGTGAGAGCTACATCTCTTTTGTATTATAGAAATTCTTTTCTGTCTCATAATACAAGGTAAAGACAATATATGTCATTAGAGTAGGGTTGCCCTTTTATTTGCCTAACTAAACTTGATCTTTGTGATCAATATCGTTCCATCTATATCTTGGCGAAATCATACTGTTTTTGCGCCAAGCTTATTTGTCTTGAGTCTTGTATTTAACACCAGGCAGAGGACTTTAGTTGAAACACTCTCTACATCTTGCCAACCAATGGATCAAGGATTGATTTCCACTTGTTGTATTCCAGTGGGGAACCAGAGTCACTAATAAGGGGGATGCCATTCACAAAGAAGTACGGTGTTCCCGTAACACCTCGTGCGCAACCATACTAACAAGAAGATAAAATGGAAAAGGTACATAATTAAACCAGGATAAATAATACTCCCTCCTTCCCTAAATGTTTGACGCCGTCGACTTTTTTTAACATGTTTGTCCGTTCGTCTTATTCAAAAACTTTTGTGAAATATATAAAACTACATGTATATATAAAAGTATATTTAACAATGAATCAAATGGTAGGAAAAGAATTAATAATTGCTTAAATTTTTTGAATAAAATGAACGGTCAAACATTTTAAAAAAAAAATCAACGGCGTCAAATATTTAGAGATGGAGGGAGTATATATGAACAATCTGATTGAATGAAATTAGTTTTCTCTGGGAGCACATGGATTCTAACCTTGAAAGAAATTCGTGTGGCTTGATCTGATTTTGAATCATTGAAACCTGCTTTGTATGCTGCCAAATTGGCTTCCCCAATGACGGGGGCAACAAGGTTTTTAGCTACCTCTGCATCCACTGTAGCTCTTGTTTTCCCATACGTTGGCTGGTTGTAATAACCCTCCTGATCAATAATAATCTGACGTTAATTGGAAGTAGTGACTTCCGAAATAAAAGAAAACTATGAGGAAATCAATATTCTATTTTGAGATAACTTAAATGTAAAATTACAAAAGGAAGAGTGCGGACATATTTCTTTTCCAATTGATCTCTTGTGAGATTGTGGGTCACCAAGTTAAGCATGCTATAGTTTGCAAGGAGACAAGAAGTCCACGATTATATTTTGTTGTGATATTCAGTAATCATGCTGTCTGATCGATCATTTGGCGGTTTTTCTACGTAATAAACTAATTAAACATTCAAAAAAAATTCTGCTGTTAACAAGAAAAAAAAAACAGATATAAAATGGAATTGATCGGACCAAGATTAGCTCTGATAACTATCACAACCGTCTTGGAAATATTACTTCTCCTGTAGTTTTAAGATAATAGTTACCAAAATTACTATCTTGTGGAAGTTTAATTGTGGCTGGATAGGAAATTAATATCGGCCGGGACTGTAACCAAACTGCTATCGAGTCTGGTATTGATCTATTCTCCACATAAATATTTATGTTACCTTACCTATTTTAATATCTCAACTTAACTGTTTAAATGTCTTTCTTTCTGACATTTAACTGTTCAATCTCTCGGCATTATGTAAATCCGTAATGACACTATCGGAATGATGAATGGAGAGGACATAACCTGGTACTTGAAGAATCTCTCGAGCAGGGGATACACAAACGACGGATTTATCTTGTTCACGGCATGAATTGACCGGCAGGAAATGAAGGCATTGCTGTGATAACTGCACATTGCAAAGAGCAAAACGAACCAGAAAATAATTACGAAATAATGACTTGTGATGAATTTACGATGGCAATGTGTCTTGGGCATGCTATGCTACTCAACGATTAACTGTTATTCAAGCTGAAAATACATACAAATGGTAGCAGACATGGCCTAATTAAATAGCTATTGTCAAACAACACAGTGCGTCAAGAGTGGTGTAAAATAAAAATATTGATTAAACTTGATGCGTAGTAAAACGAGGGACAAAATGCCTGGTGCAGGGTGCACTAAACATTTTTTCTTTCTCGTAAAAGATGAAAATTGGAATTTCATTTAGAATTATTATCATGTCTAGATATAGTGGTCCACATTCGTTGAATAATATAATAGCGTATCACTTCAGTAAATTGTACTTCTGTGAGTTCAAAATTGAATATAGGTGTAGAACAAAGCCTAGTTTAATGGCTGAAACGTTTAGATTATTACATGTTACTTGACGGGATATTTCCAGATGAAATTTTGTTTATCTAAAATAAAAATGAAACCAAATTGTGGCTTCATAAGTTTGCCGCCGAATGATTCTTCATAACATATATATTCCTATATAATATATTCCTTACAAAAGATTAAAGGCGCTTTGTGCTAGGAAAAAGCAGAACCAATTCTTTATCTCTCTGTTTCTTTTGCCTAAATAATTAGGTTTTCTAGAGGAGCCAATACAATTTGTTGAGTGCGGTGTGCAAATAGAAAAGAAGTGGGCCGAACGAATAGACTAATACCAAGCCCAAAGCGCTACTTGTTTTGTTGCTTTTATTTTTTTCCCCCATCCGCAGGCAACTTTTTGGTTGGCAATCGTTCTTGATTGTAAGATTTTCTTATCGTCAATTTTACTTTGAGTTGAGTTTCTCATTGTTAGAATTGTGTAATCTCCAATTATAAAGATCGGCAACTGACATAAAGCAATTCGATTGTAATTAGTCTATTCATGTTGATAATAAAAATGGATTGGGCGCTGTAACTTTAAAAAGATAAGATGGGATAATTTCACATTTAAAATACAAAAGGCCTGTCAAAAAAAACTGCCATTTACAAGGCGAGGAAACAATTTTGCTACCTTTGCTTGTGCCTTACTCTCTCCATAAAAAAAAACCTAATCCTAGGATATTGATTAAGTTTTTTTTTTATGGAGGGAGCATATATTCGGGCATTTAATTTATTTCCAATGGTATCCGTTTTTCTCAACGATGGAAATTAATCCACAAAATTAATTTGCCATTACATGGCGGTGACAAAACAATATATTTTGCTAGTTTCCCATGTTTCTGTTTTACATATTATTATGAATTTTCCAATAGTGTTATCTGTTCTCTGGCTGTATCTCAGGCATTTGAAAAAGGAAAGGAAATACTAATAGCCCGTTTGGATAGGATAAGAGAATTTTTATGGTCCTTGATAAAATATCTAAGGTAACTAAATTTTACACTAAAATTTGGTACCTTGAGACACCTACTAGGCTACTACCTAGTACTTAGAGGTGCCAAAGTTTTACACTAAAAAAACATGATACCTCCAGATAATTTCTCCTAAGGGTAATTTTGTCTAAAGATGGTAAAATTACCCTTAGGATAATATACTCAGGTAACTACAGCTCAGTTCAGCTTGATTATTCTGTGTAAAAGTTTAGTTGCAGATTGTTATCAATCACTGCTATGGAGTTCTTAATTTTCAAACGAAACAATAAGTGGTGTTTGAATGTTAACGTGTCTCCATCTGGCCCGTTTCAAAAAGGAGAAGTCACAAGAGTAGCTTTCTTGATAATGAAACCAGCAAGACTAACTTTAGTTTTTCGGATGTCCTTAATACATGGATAACCACAACTTGGTCAAGTCTCGGATGACATTCATGCACAGACTCTTCTTCCACTCGCTTCACTCCTCCCCTATATGAAGTTTCAGCTAAATTTCACATAGTTACAACGCGATTTTGAAAAGATTTACCGTACGTCATAGTTCAGTTAAGTCTGAAAATTTACAACTCTACCATATATTGATGCTTCAAAAACGGGATGCTAGTAATTAGTATTGGGATAAAACGTAAAAAAAATTTCCTATCAAATTTTAAAAATTACATATTTGTATAAAACATTTGTAATATGTTGTATAAATTAAATCCTACAACATTAATTTTGACATTATTTTCAATCCATATTATTTTAAATAGTGATCATAGTGACCAAGATACGACATGTGTATGATCCGTTAGGATCATATGAAACTAAGATTGGATATAGAGAAAATTAGTATATTAGACATAATTAGTATCGTTTTGATTCGGTAGGATCGTACGTAGTACCTGATACTATGAACAAGGAATTCAGGATACTAACAACTTATGTTGTTAGAGACTAAGATATTTATAAATACTAAACATTATTCGCACTAATTTGAGATTTTGTCCCACAAGAATTTTGCATATAGCATATAGTGAACGGTAGTATATATCAACATATAGGTATACTCACGGTAGTGGGAAGAGGTGCACGACGACGGTCACCCGCGAGGCGTAGTGCTCGACCGCCTTCTTCAGCTCCGGCCACGCGTCGCGGCTGTCCGGGCAGACGGGGTCGAAGTACGCCTCCACCACCACCGTCTCCCCCAGCGCCGGCGCCTTCCCACCGTACACGAACCCGTCCGTCCTCGCCGGGACGGGCACCTGCGCCGCGCCAGGGCGGCAGCCCCAGGCGCAGCAGCCGATCACCAGCACCAGCAGCAGCGACATCACACGGTGTCTGGCCTCCATGGTCAAGGCTTCTTGCAGCAGCTAGCCGATCGCTCGCACTTTGGTTTCTTCGACGAGCTAGCTAGCAATTCGAATGTGCATAATAAGCTTGTAGATTACAATAAGCAGATGAGGATGATATATAATGGTGTATATGCAGCTTGTTAGCTGAAATGCCTGATGAGTGCCTGGACAATTCGCCGAAAGTGAGGGTGGGTGCTGACGGCTACCTCCCAACGACTTCATGGGTATTCCGGCGCGGCAAAGTGCTGGATGCTGTTGTGATGGTGATCACCGAAGGTAGCCAGGTGAGTACGTGTTGATGACATCACATGGAAGTTCGACATGATCAAATCGTCGTCGTCGTCCAGCAGAGGGGAAAACAGTCTCGGTTTCTTTTTTCGCCGCTTCGGGCCGGCCGCCGGCGAACAAATTTGCCGCCCAATTTTTTTTTAGAACACCCAATTTTTTGTTAAGAAGAGGGAAAACGGTACAAATTTGGAGGAACGACAACACGGTTTGTTTGTCATTCAGAACCTTCCAAAGAAGCCAACAGACTGACTAACCAGGACATTGTGACAACGGCATCGAAATAGCGACGAGGTTCGATTGCCATGAGGCCCGAGGCCCGACGACCTGGCCCATGGCACAGCCATTTGGCCAGGCCCAAGCACGGCGTGGCACTACTGGTCTTATACCTGTGCCGGGTGTTAGACCTATCCGGCCTGGCCTGATAGTTGGGCCGATGTCTTGGCACGGTTAGCCGGCACGACACGGTCAAAGAAAAAATAATTACGGGACCCAAAATAGACATAACCTAGCCTTATAAGGCAATGTCTAGAGAGATGAGGAAGGAAAAATATACTTATTGTATGGAGAAGCACGATGGGTTGTCATGCCTGGGCCATGGATGCAGCCCCTGGGTAGGCCCAGCCCGACCTCGGCTCAGGCCTGGTTGTGCCTGGGCCATGTCGGGCCGGACGGCCCATTTGGGCATCTATAGTTCCACGCAGAACGGTGTAACCCCAGCCTGTTTCTAGGCTTTCCCAGTGAATGGAAGGAAGCAATAAAAAAAATAGTACTCCCTCCGTCCTTAAAAAAAAAAAAGCTAACCTAATCTGGACCATCGTTATACTAGGAGGAGATGTTGCTAAAATATGTTTCTTTCTATATTGTTCGTGGGTTCATCACACTAGTAGAGATATGATCTTTACTAAACTCCTATTTAATCCGGTTGTAGCAACCGAGACGAAGAAACTGAGACTGAATTTCTTGATTCGGTTGAAGGAATCGGTACTAAAGATATATACTAAGTCATAAAATATGTGGGATTTGAACTCAAGATCTCTCACCTCAACCCTCATGCGTGTTACCATCCCACCTACTACACACATGTGATTTGAATAGATATGTTTTCTTTTTAACTAACTCTAGAGGCATTTTTAGTACTGGTTGGTAAGTATCTTTAGCACCAGTTGGTATTACCAAGCATTACTAAAAGTGTATCTTTAACACCGGTTGGTAACACCACCAAGGACTAAAGATCCTCGATCTTCAGTCTTGGTTGGTGTTACCAACAGGAACTAAGGATGTATTTTTAATAGCGGTTGGTAACACTAACTAGGACTAAAGATATTTTTTTGGTCTCGAGCTTTTAGAACCGATAATAAGTACCGGTTCTTAATACATCCGTTGTATTCGTGGTTTGAGGATAAAAGATGAGTTTGATCTTAGTAGTGTCAAACAGTTAATAAGCAACTCCCGCAAGAGGCATACTAGTTTCTAGAAGAAAAATGCTATAACTCGTGGTCAAAATTCTGATTCTCGTATGCGTTTAAAGCATAAGCAAACGCACATAGATTTAATTTGTTCTTGAGTAAAATACATTAGTAGTCTCTAAACTTGTAAGGGTGTGTTATCTAGATCTCTAAACTTTAAAAATTGCATCTTTGGGTTTATGAACTAATCTTAGACGTTATTTCTAACCCGCTATATGGGCTGACGTGGCATGCCATGGTGTCAGTGGAACCCACATGTTAGTCATATATAAAAAAAACTAAAACATATTTTTTCCCTCTTAGGTAGAGAGGAAAAAATATAAAATTAAAAAAAATAATTCTAAAGTAGAGAGAAGAAAACATATTTTTCTAATTTTATTTTTTTCTATGTGATATAATACGTGGGCCCGACTAACATGTAGGCGTCACCGTGGCATGCCACGTCAGCGCATAGAGTGGGTTTGAGTTCGTTTGGACCTATATGATATCGATCACGACAAGTTTGAAAAAAAAACATTTTAAGAGTTCAGGTACCTACATGACACACTCGCACTAGTTTAGGGATACTTCACTCTTTTTAGTAACACTACTGGAGAACTGATCTTTATTGGGTCGGACGAAAAGCACAATAGTCCCGGTTCCATAAAGAACCGGGACTAAAGAGGTTTTTTTAGTCCTGGTTTATAACTCAAACGGGACTAAGTGATCTTTAGTCTCGGTTCGCCCCTTGACAGGGCATGTCAAACCCCTATCAGGGGGCTGGGGAACTGATGCGAACCCGCTAGGGTTTGTGGCCCGATCTTTCGATGAGAGGTAAGGGATAACTCGATTAGATGAAGTCGACATTCACGGCCCGACTACAACTGTCTAAAGACGCTGCACCTTAGCAACCGATACACCGTCTCCAATGGTAGCCGCGAACTTGTGGTGCGCGTCAACCTAGCCACGAGGGCACTCGTCCTGCAAGCAATCGAAGAACAAGCAAGAACAAGTAGGACAAGCACTGAGATTGCTAGATAAAGATGAAAGTTTCACTATCAAACACAATATGGTGGGGTTCCAATTACAGGCAGACGGGCGGTTTAGCCAACACGCGCGCTGCGAGCCGGTAGCAAGAAGCTATCTCTATCATCAAAACCCGCCTGTTCTTGGCGGCGACTAGAGGTATAAAAAGAGGGGAAGAACGACCATAGGGTCGTGCTCCAACCCTAGGACGCGCCCCTAATGGGCCCAACATGGATACACAGCCCATTGGGCCAAAAGAGGTGACGCAGCACCATGGACAAAAAATAGTCGGGAGTAAAATGACAATTGCGGCCGCTCCAGAACAGATATGGACATGTGGCTGGATCCATTTGAAAGTAGACTTGATAAGCTTTCCATGAAGTACTTGCACGCCCAAATCGGAGTTCGCATGAAGTCGTGGCGGCCGTTAGAAGTTGGCGCTGCCCTGCAGTCCGAATCCACCCCGCGCGAATCCTCTTCCCTTTGGATCCTCTCCATCGTTCCTGAGTAAAACACGAGTGCACGCGTCTCCGAGGTATAAAGACGAGGAATATGAACTCAAGAAAGAACTCACCTGATAATTTAGTTGACGTGCACGAGCGCGGGTAATAGGACCATCATGCTGTATATGGGGGGACGTGGATGTATCGATGGTGTTGATGTCCTCATCAGGAACTTAGTCTTGGTTGGTAACACCAACAGGGACTAAAGATCACCTCTTTAGTTCCAATTAGTGATAGAAACCGGGACTAAAGACATTTGAGATCATGTGGCTCAGCCATCTTTACCAACCGGGACTAAATATCGCCATTTTTAGTACCGGATTCTCCCTTTCGGTTTGCAACCTGGGACTAAAGGAGGTTGCGAACCGGGAGTGACGTGGGTTTCTCCGGCAGTGTTAATCATGACATTAAATACTTAAACGACCAAAATCATTTTATACGTGTATGATTTAGACATGTATATAATTAAGATCAAACGAACGTAGCATAATTAAAGCGTGCCAGTGATTCTAATTTTTGGAGCGTTCATAGGAGTGGCTACTGCACAAACAACCCACGGCAATGTATGATGATGATGGCGCGCCGTAGGCTAGGAGAACAACGGTTCTTAAGACCTACCTAGGTGGGCATAAGAGCAAATACAATAGGCAAAAATTAGCATATACTGGTGACATCAAATTTTTATACAACTAGAAGTGAGGAAGTGCTAGGAGAGCAAAGCAATCGACTAAGAGCAGCTACAATAGTAGACAATGAGCTTATTTAGGGGAGCTTCTAGCTGCTGCAGCTTTTCTCAGGATCAGAAGCTTCCCAAATAGTGTAGCTTTTAGTACAGATTCTGAGAAAATGTAGCTGCAGAATCCAAAAAATGACCTAGAAGCCAAAAGCTAGAAAACCCAACTTTTCCAGATTCTCAGAAGCTAGCTACCACCAACTGCTTCCCAAACAAGCCCTATAAGTCAACTATAAACATATTTTAAGGAGATAAAAGAAAAGAGATAAGAGCAACGGACTATAAATTTGTAGCCAGCTGTAGCATAGATTCCAAGATGTATGTGTGTATGACAGGTGGGACCAAACATTAATTATGTAGAATATGTTTATAGGTAACTATTGTATAAATTGACTATAAATGATTTGAAGCTAATACTTGGCTATACTATTAAACTTGCTATAATTAGTCAATGGCTTGGCACGTACGCCTATGTGTTCAATTTGCATTAGGACCGGTAAACATTAAGGCCAGGTTTAGTTCCTAATTTTTTTCCCAAAAACATCACATCGAATCTTTACACATGTGCATGGAACATTAAATATAGATAAAAACAAAAATTAATTGCACAGTTTGCATGGAAAATTGCGAGACAAATTTTTAAGCCTAATTAGTCCATGATTAGCCATAAGTGCTACAGTAACCCACATGTCCTAATAACAGCTTAATTAGGCTCAAAAGATTTGTCTTGCGGTTTCCATGCGAGTTATGAAATTAGTTTTTTCATTCGTGTCTGAAAACTCCTTCCGACATCCGATCAAACCTTCGATGTGACAAAAAAAATTTCTTTTCACGAACTAAACAGGGCCTTAGGCGTGTAAACATAGATGGAGAATCGATCTCATGACCTCACCCTGTCATAGGTGGTGTTTGGATCCAGTGACTTAACTTTAGTCCATATATTTAGACACTAATTTAGAGTATTAAATATAGATTACTTACAAAAACTAATTACATAAATGAAAGCTAATTCGCGAGACAATTTTTTTAAGCCTAATTAATCCATAATTAGAGAATATTTACTGTAGCATCACATAGGCTAATCATGGATTAATTAGGCTCAAAAGATTCGTCTCGTGAATTAGTCCAAGATTATGGATGGGTTTTATTAATAGTCTACGTTTAATATTTATAATTAGTATCAAAACTTTTAATCCCATCAATACAGGGCCATAGTAAGGTCCCTCTGCTAACCAACGAAGCATATGTTGTTGTTAGCAGTGATTAAACAAATTAAAAAAATTGCTTCCTTGTTCCGAGAATATAACAACTTATAGTAATAAATTTGAACAAGTGTTTGTCCGAGTAATATATCCGGGGTCTTGTGATCCAGGAAGGTATATGTAGGTTTGCCACTGGTTGCTAGTAGGGGCATGCTCACTAATATGTAGAAATATTGCGAGAATGTTGTAAATCAGGCTACCGATGGATCGGACGCCCTGTCGCATGCATCCAAAGTAGGCAGCTAGTTATTTCTTCTGCTTCCTTCTTCCTCTTTTTAAATATTTTTTCTATTAAAATATTTATCCGATCACATCATTATATTCGTTACAATTAAATCTTTACAACAAAATATCATTTGATTTTATTATGTTAAAAGAAAAACATGGGTTTCAAACCGTTAAATCTCAATGCTTTATATGTGATAGTGATATATTTCAATGTATGTCTTCAACGTGTTTCGAAAATTCCCGAAACTACTTGTTACTGCTCTCTCTCTCTCCACCTCATTCATCCATGCATGCATACATTTTATTGAGCTTCAAAATGATTTTTCTCCTAAATTACTTATCCAATCTATAATCCGATAACATCGTTGTATTCGTTATAATTAAATCTTTATAACAAGATATGTTGAAAGAAAAACATACATTTCAATTTGTTAACACTTGTTGTTTCATATGCGATCACAACATGTTTCAATGTGTATCTTCACCATGTTTCACAAAATTTTTAAATATTTCAGTTGCCGGTTTTTTTGTTTTATCATATATAACTTGATGTTTCATTCGTTTGTCAACTTGAACATTTGACTGACAATTTTTTTTGGCAGGCATCAGACGCCTGATGGGAAGATTCTTCCGAAATATAAGTGGTGGTTCTTATAAAGGTCTTGAGGTTAAGCTAGTGGTATACTCCTACGTAAGAGAAAATGGCCATTATACCATCGTCAAAACGGGGCTTCGCTCGAATACCATGTTACAATTGGGATTCATCCGAATACCACTCTTAACATGGAGGAGTTCGCTGATGAAATGCCATTTTCTTCCTTTCTAGTAAATCAAAATAATTTTGTCCATTTTCTCCCAACTTTGATGACAAAACTTCACCTCAACTAGCGTGAAGTGAGAGGTGGCACCATCGAAGAAGCTAGCCAGCGAGCTAGAGTACCAGGGCGGCAACGGACCGGCATGTGGAGAGGGGTAGTAGCATGGCTGCTCTCCTCCTCGTCTTCTACCACGAGGGGAACGGGCAGTGACCGGGTCGGCGCGAGAGGACGGCTGCGGCTCGGTGGCGCGAGGGGAGGGCGACGACCTAGACAGCGCGACGGAAGGGCCGTAGCACGCCATGGCGGCGTGAAGGGAAGGCGACGTGGCTGGTCTCCTCCTCGTTGTCTGCACTTGGGAAATGGGCAGCAGCCGGGTCAGCGCGAGAGGACGGCCATGGCCAGGTGGTGCAAGGGAAGGGCGGCGGCCGGGTCGGCGCGAGGGGAGGGCTGCGGCGTTGTGCGATAGTGAGAGGGGAGGGCGGTGACCTGGTCGGCGCGAGGCGAGTGCCCAGGTGTGGCGCGGCGGTGCAAGGGGAGGGTGGCACAGCCCGACGGTGCGAGAGGAGGGTGGTGCCCAGATTGGCGCGACGGGAACCGGACACCCTAGCCTCCGAGCCAACTAAGACTAATTTAGATGATGAAAAAGATTCCAGCGGTAGTACTAAATTCTTTTGATTTAGATGAAAACGATGTGGAATGGTATCACAGAGGGTTGGTTCCATTTTAAGGTGGTATTCGATCGGGCGAACCCAATTGTAGAATGGTATTATAGCGCAACCCCGTTATGACGATGGTATAATGGTATTTTTCTCCCTACTTGAGGACTGGTCAATTTTTTTTTTAAAAAAACATATTCTTCATCTCTCTTTTAGGGATGAAAACGAAGCGATAGTTTTCGTCCGCTCTAAAAAAACGAATATGGATATCTTTGGGAGCGGATAATTCTTGGATAGTTTGGATACGGATACTGATATTTTATCCCGGAATACGAATATGGTATCAGAGTTTCTGATGGGTATGTGGATAATAATACGGATATTCGGATATTCGCTGAGACCATGAGACACACTCCATTTTTTTTATAACTCTACGACCTTTCATATATCTTTTTAGATTTTAATATTATTTGAACATTTATATGTTTTTATAAATTATACTATATTCCATATAAAACAAGCTAATTATATATATGATGATATTTGTTTCTATAAAAAGTTGAGGTGATTTTCGTGTTCTGAGAAAAAAATTTATTCATGTCCGATCATATTCGATCCTTATTCGCATTCAAGATAATTCGTATTTGTTTCCGTACTATTCATATTTGTTTTAATATCTGACAGAAAATATAACAACAAATATGCTATGGGCGAATATCCGTCGTCTGTATCCGCTACATTTTCATCGCTACTCTCTCTCTTCAATACACACTGTTGCTGGCCACCGTCGAAGGAGAGGACACGAAGCTGACGCAGGGGCGTCCCTAGGGGCGTGCGGCCAGCGCACCCGCACAGGGACCCCCAATTTTCAGGGGCCCCTAGGCCCAAAACTTCAACACTGGATATACAACTCAATAAGTAATTAGGTAGTCTAACTAGTCTCGAGAATCTGTTATTTTTCTTATCGTTTCGGCTTCGATTACGCCTTTGCCGGTTCGCATAGTTGCGCCGGTTCGCAATCTTTAATCGCCTCCCACTGTGGACCTCGCCAATCGCCAATTGCAACAAACGAGAGGAGTAAACGACGCCTCACCTCTTTCTCTCGTGCGGTCGTGCCGCCTAATGCCTGCTGCGCCCCTGACCTAATTCTTTCTGATAATTTCTAATCCGGTAATCCCTAATTTTGGATTATTATTTTAGACCATTCTAGATTACTATAAAATATATTACGGAGTATAAATTATTTTATAGTATTTTATCAATTAAGTTTTTATCCTTAAACTTAAACTTTGCACATGGCCCCTTAAACTTTGAACAGGGCCCCCGAATTTGACGGGACGGCCCTGAGAGCATCCCCGGCAGCTCATCTATATTTGGTCCTCCAAATGTCCATATGGAGTATCATCCAAAAAAGATTCCTCATCCATATCCCTTCCAACTCCAACAGATTATCCATACTACATCATCCATATACCATCATCCTATATTTTATTAATATCTTACAACTAACCTTACATTTTATTAAATAAAACGAACATAAAAGCAAGCAATATAGCAATATAAATCTAGTTTGTACTCAATTCCTATTGTATATATCTGCTCAATAAACATAAATTCACAAAAATCAACATACTATATTTATATTTCTCTATTCAAGTGTGTGGTGTATAAATCAATTACATTGTGTATACAAAAATGAGATCTTCTCATTATCTGCTTTCTCTGCTCTGAGCTCTTCTCTTCAAACAGCCGCAGGCAGAGGGACGGGGGAGATGGTGAGGGGCGGCGGCGGCGGCGGGATGCTCAGGGCGGCGCTGGGCGACGGCGGCAAGCTGAGGGGCGGCGGCGGCTGGCAAGGGGCGGCGGCGGCTGGTGAGGGGCGCCGGCCGCTGGCTGCTCAGGGGCGGCGTTGGCGCGAGATGCGGAGGGGTGGCGGCGGCTGGCTAGGGCCGGCGGCGGCTCACGGGCAAGGGGCGACGGCGGCAAGCGAGGGGCGGCGGCGGCTCACGGGCAAGGGGCGCCGGGCGGCGGCCACGTGCAGGGAGACGGAGGAGGAAGGCGGCGGGCGCACGGCGACAGCGCCCCAGATCTGGTAAGTCCCGCTCCACAAATCGTTGAAAAATGGCAAAATACGGGCACGGGGAACTCTGGGGACGACGGTGATGGAGGGGGTGGCACGCCAGCGGTGAGCTCGCGCCGGAGGGGAGGTGGTTGACGATGTCCGGATGGGGGCGGGATCTCGATCCAGAGGCGCTCGGGCGAAATGGCGTGAGGAGAGAGATACGCTATTTTTACCGCTTCTCTCTCCTACTATGGCGTATCCGCCAAAATTGGCGTGTGGGTTAGCGTATCCGCTGGAGGGCGTTTTTTGGCCTCTATACGCTAAAACCGGGATGGAGGATTGGTTACCGTATCTGCTGGGGATGCTCTGAGCTGACGTTGCCGGATGCCGGAGTTTCGCCGGCAAGCGTCGCCCCACCTACCGTCGGAGTCCGCCCGCAAGCGCCGCCGCCATCGCCCGCGACCTCCTCCCGCGAGCGCTGCCGTCGGATCCGTGCACCTCCGCGTGGGGCGCCGCCGCTGCTGCCGGCGCAACCTCCTTCCGCGAGCTACCGCCGCGGGTGACCTCCTCCTCTCAAAAGCATCGCCGCCGCTGCCGGATCCGCCCGCGGAGATCTCTCTCCTAGTCTTGTTCGTTTCAGTGCTGAGGTCTGTGTGAAAAAGGAAGTTAAGAGCTCGTCGGAGACGTCGTCTTCCCTGGATCCGGCCAAAACCGCGCCGCCGTAGCCGCCATTTGCTGCACGCTGCAGTCCAGGTCGATTTCTCGCCGATGGAGCATCCTGGAGCACCCAGGAGTTCGTCGCCATGGCCAATCTGAATATCTGATCTCTCCCTCGCCCCAGGTTGTTGCCCACTTGCCCCCGACAACACTGTCCCCAGGTCGTCGTCGTCGCCATGGCCTTGGGCTCCTCCCGCCATCGCTCCTCTGACCGGTAATGTGCTCGCCATGTCTCATTGATGGCAACCTGTGCCTGTGCCAGAACTGATGGTTTTCCATGAATGTGGAGGTGTCGTGCAGAGTGAGGAAGGAGAAAGAAAGATGAGGCATTGAAGGTAAGGTCACTTCCACAAGGGGGCAAGCAAAGTAAGTGGTAAGGCATATCAAGAAATTTCTCTTCATTATTTAGCCCATAGCAAAACTAATATTCGAGAGGTATATACCACTCAAATATTCAACTGAATATGGATTTCTTCTCAATTAAGCGTATACAACAGCCGTTCGTTTTCATCACTTTTCAATTAACCATAAAGTAGCTATGTTCTGAGGCGTGTTTTGGACGCCTTTCTTCTTCTATTAATGCAATGATATGCAACTCTCTTGCATATTCAAGAAAAAACAATGTTCTGAGGAGCTATTAGTCTAATAAAAGCTATGCTTTATTTACATTGGTTTAGCATGTTTTTAGAATTAGGTATCCAGGAAGAAGCTGGTAGAGAAGTGTTTTTGGCTTCTCTGTACAATGAGGGCTTATGCTTTTCTGCGGATGCCCAGGAAGCTACATCATTGATCAGTGCACAGTTTTTTGGAACATTGATGAGCGTACATAGAATGCATCTCCCATTTTTCCCAAATCGCTGTATCACATGGTTTTGTCAAATTCCTGTTTGATGGATGCAATTTTGGCACAAACTTCCCTCATTCCTGGCCTATCATTTGGTGATTCCTTGGAACACAGAAGGCCAATTTCAATCATCGGTAGGATGAAACTTTGCATCCACAGATCATGTACCACCTTTTCATCTCGGGGCATATGGGGATCTAAAACCTCACCAATTGTGTTTGGGAAAGCAGAGTCCACATACTTATGAAGGCTGAGGTCGCTGCCGAATTGTGTGTCAGTTGGCCGCTTCGCTGTGAACATTTCAAGTAGAAGCACCCCAAAACTGTACACATCACCAGCAGTTGAGATTTTGCATCCCATCCCATATTCTGTAAGACAATATTAATGAAAGTATGCTAAAAACAACAAAAAGATAGATGTAAAGCTGAACAAATAACCAGTTGTTGGAATGGAAAAACTGACCAGGTGGGATATATCCAATGGTTCCTCCAAAACCAACAAATCCTTCTGGCTTAGTAAAATTTGATGATAGAAACTTAGCTGACCCAAAATCACCAATGCGTGAGGTCATGTCATAATCCAAAAGAATATTACTCGGTTTCAAGTCACAGTGGATCAGAGGAGGTACCAATTGGTTGTGGAGATAATCTAGAGCAGAAGCAATATCTGCCGCTATGCTTATCCTTTGACCTAACGTTAGCACCCTCTTTGGGCTGCCTTGGTACAGCTTTGGGTGTACAAACATTTCCAGGTTGCCATTTGCCATGAACTCATATATTAGAGCTTTGAATTCATTATTGTCAAAATCCACCGTTGAGCACAAGGTTATTGCTTTGACCAGGTTGCGATGGCGAGTGCATTTTAGTACTTCACACTCTCTAAAGAAGCTGTTATGTGCACCTTGCTCATCAAGATGAAATACCTTGATGGCAACTAGGTCTGTATCAAACTCGAATCGTCCGATGTAGACTGATCCTGTGTGACTTGAGCTGATTTTATTGACTGGGGAGAACCAATTGGTGGCTTTAAGAATGTCCCCATATGATACCCTCTTCATTGTTTCTTTGTAGTTTGAAGATTGTTGGGTTGTACTTTCCTTTCTAAGAGTGAACATTATGCATAGAATTGAGAATAAAGCAACAGTAACGGTTGGAATGAGAATCACTATCAGTAGCCATCGTGTATTGTTCTTCTTCCTTTTAGCAGGTGAGGTGGGGCAAATCGGCAATGCAAATATGGATGTAAGTGCACACAACCCTTTATTTCCTTTCAGGTTTACAGAATTTGGTTTTCCAAAGATACCTCCGGTGGGAACAACACCGGATAAATTGTTTTCCGAGAGATCAATTTGTTGAATTGCCGGCAGTTGGCTTAATGACTCTGGTATACTCCCACTTAGGTTGTTGTTTTCCAAGTTAAGGGACAATAGAACAGCACACTGTATGAGTGAAGAAGGAATTTGGCCTGATAACTGGTTGTTGGAAAAATTTAGGTGGCCAAGATTGTGCAATGTACCGACTTGCTGTGGTATCAACCCTGAAAGTTTGTTATTTGAAAGATCCAAACCCAAGGAAAGAGAAGATATATTGACGAGTTCAATTGGTATGGATCCATCAAGGTTGTTCACTGATAAGTTTAGCATTGCTAGCCTTATGCACTGCCCTATATTTGCCGGTATTTTACCAGATAAGTTATTATTATCAAGATAAAGCTGGCCAAGTTGTGAAAGGTTACCAATTGTAGATGGGATTTGTCCTGACAATTCATTCATGGATAGGTTCAAGATAAACAATTTTTTCAAGTTCCCAATTGTCATGGGAATTTGCCCTGACTGCTTGTTTGTGTTGATCTCAAGCAGAGAGAGATTTATAAGCTTCCCTATCTCGTCTGGTATTATTCCTGTTATTTGATTGCCGCCAAATTTCAACTTTTGTAGATGTGTTGAAAGGTTGCCAATTGATTTTGGCAGGCTACCGTTCAGGTTATTTCCATCCATCGACAGTTCTAATAATCGAGTACAATTTGTCAGAGATGTAATTAATGACCAGATATCAGCTCCTAGCCTGTTACTTCCTAGCAAAAGTTTGTTCAAGTTTCTCAAGGATCCTAATGCTGGTACAGATCCGCTTAGATGATTGCTAGAGAGATCAAGCATTTGTAGGTTTGATGCATTGGCCAAGGAAGTTGGAATTGATCCATCAAACCTATTCAGAGACATGACCAACGATTTGAGATTTGGAAGTGTGTGACCAATGTCAGGAGGTATCTTTCCAATAAGACTGTTGTTTCCTATACCAAAGAATTCAAGCGACGACTTATTGTACAGTGTGACTGGGACAAACCCTGATAATCTGTTTCCACTCAGATCTAGCTTATTCAGGTTTGCGATTTGACTCAAGGATTCTGGAATTGGTCCTGATAAATTGTTTTGTCCTAGCAATATGGAACTTAGAGATGAAATATTTGCTAGAGATGGTGGTATTCTTCCAGAAAGCAAGTTTCCAGTAAGGTCAAGAAATCGAAGAGTCCCCATGTTACGAGGAAGTGGAATTTTGCCAACAAAAGAATTCGTTTGTAGATCAACAGTGACAAGCTTGGATGAGCCATTGAAAAAACTAGGAGGGATCTCTCCTGATAGGTTGTTACGCGAAAGATTTAGCTCTATGAGTGATGAACTTCTTGCCAAGGATTCAGGGATGGTACCTTCAAGGTTGTTTCTTGCAAGCAGCAGACTTTGCAGAGAAGTGAGGTTGCCGATGCAATCAGGCAGGACCCCAGTGAGCTCCATGGAGCTAAGGTTTATGGAGACAACTTGAGCTGGAGATGTCGTGCCACATCTGACACCATTCCATCTGCAGAAATGGACTGACGTGTTCCATGAGATGAAAGCACCGGTGGGGTCGGTTATGCTTTGCTTGAAGCATAGTAGAGCTTGTAAATCGGTCTCTGATCTGTTGCTGGGCTGCGCTGATGAGGGTGTTATTGTGTTGCAGGATAGAAAGATGAGGAGGCTGCAAAGAAGAAATGATGCAGGATGAGAAGCAGCGGGGGGAGATTTGGCTCCAACTGATGGAAACATCACTTCTAAGATGGAGTTCTTGTTTTTCTTTTTTCGTGAGAACTGTTTGTGATATTATATAGCCTTGGAAAGTGCAGGCGTTTACTTGACTTCAGTTGCCACTTGAGCTCGCTACTGCGAACTGAGAAAAGTCTAACGAAACTGTACATGTGAGAAAACGTGTCCTAGTATGTTTACCTTTGGCTGGTTATAATATACTCGGCCCGACATCTTTAATTTTTTTCTTTCAACTATTCATCTTATTTTAATAAAATTATATAAATGTTATTTGTTTTGTCATGATATTTTCATGATCAAAGGAACTCTAATATTAACTTATTTAGTACTTTACATATTTACACTAAATTTTTATTATACTGACGGTTAAATGTTTATATAAATGTCATTTGTTTTGTTATAACTTTTTTATCATCAAAAGAACTCTAATATGAAGTTATATTTTTATATATTTACACTTAATTTTTAATAAGATAAATAATTAAACGTTATATGAAAAGTTAACAGCGTTATATGTAAAAAAAATGGAGGTAGTAATACACAGCATTTTCGGCACTGAAATCTAACTACCTCATTCTAATAAGACATTTTTGTTAAAAGTATAATGAAAGTCAATTATTTTCCTATATGATTGCTATATTTGTTACATGCAAGCATATTTGTGTCTCTATTTCTTCTTTTAATCTTTTAAGTAGATAATTAATTATTTTTATTCAAATTATCTTATATATAGTATGTACCAGAGAAATTACCGTGTAAGTTTTATAATTTACAGTGTCTAAATGCATGTAATTTATATGTTGTGCCATAAATATATTGTTTCTGTTTTACAACTAGATGGTCCAATAAAACTTCTTTTTGACCGGGTCTTAAAAAGTAAAACACTGATATAAGAAGATAAATCCCGTTATCCATCGTCAAGTATAGTCGAGACCCAATTACATTTAGATAATTATCAATAAAAAAGATCAGATTTTTAAACATGAAGTAACAACTATATTTCTTTTCTTTTGTTAATGGAAATATACTGCAGGGATTATACCTAGTGGTTTTTTTGGTAAAAAGAAATTCTGAAATGAATATTACAGGATTTTCACCAACAAGTCAGTAATTGGCACCCGACTGGAAAAATGTCGTCGAAGTATTGCCGGCGCCCTGATGGAAGAGTGCAGTCAGTAGTATTTCTTGCCAACCCCATTTGCTCCTGGCTGGCTACCTCGAAAGCGCTTGTATCACATTCACTCAATCACTATTGAATTTCCTTGATCCTGCATCCTCAAATTATTTTCATTAAGCCAAAATTATTCGGCAATGCTATTTCAACTACATTATAAAGGGAGAATTTTCTTTGTAGATTCTAAACATGAGAATAATATAGAATCCTAAAAATCGTTACATGAAATTTTATTAACATACTCTATTATACGAAAGTCGAATAGTCGTTCTGAGTGAGACGTTTTGGATTGTCTCGTCAATCTGTTCAGGTTTGCATCTACAGTTCCCAGTCCAAGCTTCTGTCCAAACTTTAGGCCTGTTCACTTTGATGAAAAAAAAAATCTTACCAAAATGCCAAAATTTTGGTATAGCTGCCAAAATTTTGGCAACTTACTGAAATTTTGGTAGGATTTCTTATATAGTAACCAAAATTTGGTAGCAAACTAAATGTAGCCACTTTTTTTGGCAACTTTACCAAACTTTGGTAAGATTGAAAATGGCATTAAAGTGAACAGGTCCTTTCTGATCGTTAAACGGGTAAACCTGATATTTCCAAATTTTGGTACTGCAGGCATAATAATTTCTTTAGTTACCCACGTGTGGTCCATGTAGACATCAGGGGCGGATATACAGCGTACCGGTGTTAGGCGACACCAACGACTTTCAACAAAATCTATGCTTAAACTGCTTATCCATATATTATAACACTATGATTCAAGTATAATTAGTGTACTATGAGATCGCTAATCATATTATGATACCAACGAAGTAATTTTGTGGACCCGCCATTGGTATGGTAGACATGTTTATGGTCGAGAACCAAATTGATCTAATTTTATGTTTCCTAGTCGTTATCGGATATCCTGCATGCTTGTTCTGACCATAGTAATATTATGGTAGTGTTTAGATCCCACCTCAAAACTTTACACCCTATCACATCGAACATTTGAATACTTGTATAAAGTATTAAATATAGGCTAAAAAATAACTAATTACATAGATTGCGACTAATTTGCAAGACGAATCTTTTAAGCCTAATTGCTCTATGTTTTAACAATGTGGTGCTATATTAAACATTTGCTAATGACAGATTAATTAGTCTTAATAAATTCATCTCGTTGTTTACTGACGGATTCTCTAATTAGTTTTTTTTATTAGTGCCCGAATACCCCATACAATACCCTGTATAATATCTGATGTGACACGCCAAAACTTTATACCCCTGTATCTAAACACCCTATGTTTGATGACAGAAATATGAACTACAGTACATAGTTGAAAGATTAATTACATGGTGAGAAAGAGAGCATGAAGGTTTTGATCTCTGTTCTAAACCTCTGGCGTAATGCTTTTCTTTCTTTATTTTTTTTTATTTGCATGTGCTAGAAAGGTAGAGAAGTTGACATACAGCCTTGTAATTTGCTTATAATTATTCGTACGGTTTACCAAGTAGAAAATAATTTTAGAGAAAATTTTATATATGTGATTTTAGTAATTTAAAATTAAATGCTATAAAATAAATCAATGAAAAACCACAAAAATCAATTTCAAAATGAGGCTTTAAAATTCAAATTTTGGATTATAACCGTACATAAACACCGGTGACTTAGCAGCATCGCGATTTGCTTGTGTAACCTGGCCATGTTTAGTTCCTCCTCCAATTTTTTTTTGACATATACGAATACATATTTGAAGTATTAAACGTAGACTAATAAAAAAACAAATTACACATTCCGTCTGTAAACTGCGAGACGAATCTATTAAGCCTAATTAATCTGTTATTAGCAAATATTTACTGTAGCACTACATTATCAAATCATGGCTTAATTAGGCTCAAAAGATTCGTCTCGTAATTTATATGCAAACTGCGTATTTGGTTTTTTTCGTCCAAATTTAATGCTCCATGCGTGTGATCAAACATTTGATGTGACGGAAAAATTGAAAGTTTGAATGGAACAAAACACATACTCTAATGTCTCAGCACCCAGGTTTGGACTGTCCTGGAGAACTTGTGAGAAAAAAATGCGAGAACTTGTGAGTACGACAACTTCTGCAGCTTAGACTCGTCAAAGAACTGGATCTCCAGCTGACCAGTTCAACTCATTTCCAATGGTTGATCATGCGAAGTTAAGAATTTAGAAAAGATAATCACACCGTCATGCAATAAACAATATAATTCCATACATGCTACAGTTCAGTTAGGAAAGATTGTTTGTTACTGAGTATGATTATATTATCAAGAATAAACAGACGTTACAACGACAGTTGGCTCTGTCAGTCTGTTGTTGTTAAAATAAATTGGATCACTGATCAGAGCATTTTCTAGTTAAGATCAACCTTTGTTTTCATCGACCAAAATCGTCAATTAAAATTAGTGACGACACAAAATCCATATGACATGAAGATTCTGCAGGAGCCGGCGAGCTGAAACCCAGAACAATATTGACCCCCTAATACATTTTGGGTTTTCCTCTAAAACCTGACTTTTCAGCTTCTAACCAATGACCCAAATTTAGCACATTCTAATGGAAACCACAGCACCTTCCAACTGTAACTGAACTTGGTACTGATTACAGGTAACTGAATGCATTCATCCTCTAGTTCATGGCAAAGAAAATATATAAGAATTTAGTGAACTTTGCCTCAAGAAAATCCTTACTGTTCCTCCCTGAAAATTATATATATGAATTTAAACGAATAAGCTCACATGCTGCCTGGTTAAAAGTTTCATGTATGCCTGCAATTACAGAACTTCTATCACAAACTGAAATCGCCAAACTGCAGAAAAGTTTCTTTGACTGCACAAAGTTTCGCACAGACATCTTGCATTCCAGGTCTGTCTTTCGAAGATACCATGGAACATGACAGGCCAAGTGCAACTAACGGCTTAATACAGGCCTCCAACCATTCTGCTGTATACACTTGGTGCTCCTCGTGCGTCATATAGGGATCTAGAATCTCTGCAACTCTATCTGGGAACATGGAGTCAACAAAGTTGTGAATGCTAACTCCATCCGCAAATGTATCATCAGTTGGCTGCTTTCCTGTAAGCATTTCCAGAAGTAGCACTCCAAAACTATACACATCGCCTCCCGTTGAGATTTGACTGCCCATTCCATACTCTGTACAAATTAATTGCTACGTTGAATTACTGCAGTTATATCAACAAAAAAACATAGTTAAGAAGAGAGATAAAAATAGGAACACACCTGGTGCAATGTATCCAATTGTTCCTCCTATATCAGCCAAGCTTTCTGGACTGACCAGATCAGGAAATAGAAACTTTGCTGATCCAAAGTCACCAAGAAGCGCGGTTATGTCAACATCCAAGAGGATATTGCTCGGCTTCAAATCACAATGGACCAAAGGAGGCATTACATGGTTGTGGATGTAATCAAGAGCAGTGGCCACATCAGTTGCAATGGATATCCTCTGGCCTAAGCATAGTACTCTATCTGGGATTCCATTGTGCTGCTCAGAGTGCAACCATCTTTCAAGGCTACCATTAACCATGAACTTGAAGATTAGTGCCTTGAACTCATGGTTTTCGTGGTCCAATGTTGAGCATAGGGTCAGTGGCCGCATTATGTTTCTATGGCGAGTGCTTCGTAGCACCTCACACTCAATAAAATAACTCTCATATGCACCAGGTTGATTCAAGTTGAATACTTTAATGGCAACTAGGCGTTTCTCAGACTTAAACCTACCAACATAAATTGATCCAGTTTGGGTTGAACTAATTTTATGGTTTGAAGAAAACCAATTGGTAGCTTTAATGATGTCACTGTATGAGACCTTCTTGAGTGTCCCATTGTTGCTTGGAGGTATAGGCACTCTTCTTCTCTTTGGCTGGGGCAAACCAAGCATACTGGGCATGCCACTGCACCAGTTGAGCACATAATTGCACCTTTTGAACAGATCACTACACTGTGAAAATGAAAACACCCTTCTCTTCCAAAGAGTGACAAGAACCCATGAAACCAAAAACAGAAGAATAGTAAGTGGTGGTACTAAAATTAGCAACACAATTACCTGCAAAGGCAAATGGATCTTCTTGGTCAATGATGCCTCATTGTTGCTTTTTGTACTGTCAGATGTGCTACCACAAATTGGAAATGATACTGTTGACGACTTTGAATAGAGCTTCTTATTTCCTTCCAAAAATACGGCACTCGTGTTTTGGAAAAAGCAATCAGTTGGAATTGGCCCTTCGAAATTGTTGTAAGACAGATCAAGTAGCTCCAACATGGTCATGCGCCGAAAGAATTCAGGCAGAGGACCAGATAATTCATTTCGAGAAAGATTAACTTGTTGCATATTATTTGACCCAAAACTTTCAGGAATTTGTCCTGTAAGATTATTGTGTGAAAAGTCCACAACCAAGAGGGTAGAGCCTCTAGAGTAGAATGGAGAACTACTTAAGTCAGAAGGTATCAGTCCACTAAGATCATTGATAGAAAAATTGAGTTCAAGAAGTTCGGTGCACTGCCATATACTAATAGGTATATTTCCACTCAAGTTGTTATCATCAAGAAAAAAATGTCCCAGGTGAGAAATGTTGCCGATTGTGGATGGGATTTGACCTGATAATTTGTTTATGGATAGGTCCAGAATATACAAGTTGTGCAATTTTCCAATCGTCGAAGGTATTCTCCCAGAAATTTGGTTCCCACGAAGAACTAAAGCTTGCAGGTTCGTAGAAATATTACTGACAGAGCTGGGTAAAATTCCATCTAGCAGATTCCATTGCAAGGACAATTCAATCAGCTCCGTACAATTTTCCATAGATGCAAGAAACGCCCAATGATCTGCTTCTAGAGAATTCTTTCCTAAACGAACTTGATTCAAATTGGCCAACAATCCAAGAGATGGGATAGAGCCATGCATCAAGTTGTTTGAGAGATCAAGCTGTATGAGATTCGTTGCATTGGATAATGATGTAGGGATTTGACCCTCAAACTTGCTGTTTTGGAATTTCAGAATCTGGAGCTTTGGTAAAGAGTTACCAATGTCAGATGGTATCTGCCCAACAAGGCGATTGTTACCCAGGCTAAAGTATGTGAGTGATGACATGTTGTAAAGAGATAATGGGACAAAACCAACCAAGCTATTGTAAGTTTGGATGAGTTAGAAAAAAGTTTGGCTGGAATTTGTCCAGACAGGTTGTTACGTGACAGGATCAGCATGTTGAGAGAGGGGCTACTTGCTAAAGAATCAGGGATAACACCAGTAAGAGTATTGTTTGCAAGATTGACATAGCTGAGAGACAAACTAGTACCAAGTGAATCAGGGATGTCACCTTCAAGGTTGTTTGCAGCAAGCAACAGAGTGCGGAGGACAGGAAGTTTGCCCAGTTCATCAGGGATGGCCCCAGACAGATGATTATCCGTAAGATTTATCTGAGATAGAGAAGTCAGGTTGCCTATGCAACCAGATATCCTCCCAGTGAGATGTGAAGAACTGAGTTCTAGATGTACCACACGGGATGGATATGATGAGCTGCAAGTGACCCCTCTCCAACTGCAGAAATTGAGTGAGTCGTCCATCCATGAACTTAGGACACCATCCAGGTCCAACAAGATGCCGGACTTGAAGCAAAGGAGGGCTTTCCGATCACTCTCGGACTTGTTTGATTGTGCTGCTGCAAGTATTGCGGTGCTGAAGAAGGTAAAGATGAGTAAACTACACAGCATGGACAACATCCGAATCATTGTGTCTAGGGCTCTAGGCAGTCAGGGTGCTGAAGAACAAAGAACTGCAAGAGCTAGGTGTGCTTTGGTTGTGGACTACATGAAAGCTTGACTTGACTTGATTAATGTAAGGTAGTAGCACTTATTGTCTCATTTTGAACGTGCAGGAGAGGGAAGAGAAATTTACAAGAAAAGGACAATGAAGAAAGACACCTAAGCAACGAGAATGACTGCAAGCGTCAGCAAAATTCTGCAGGCGTGTACCAGAGATAAGTGGACAAAATTCTCTAGAACAGGACGTGCAAATTTGGCCTGTACCACAAAAAGAAATGCCCAGACTTGCCATGATTTCTGACGTAATTGCTGTGTGCAGGGCAGTGGGCACACAACAAACTGGGCAATATGGACAGATGATACAGCGATACACACTGAACCAACTGAATTGGCAGTGCTCACTGCTGATGGAGGTCTAAAGTTTAGCTGAACATAAACTCAAACAACTCGAAGTAATTAACGATTTCCCATCTTCTGTTCCAATAGCATGCTTGACACACTTGACAATATCAAATTGGAATCCGGTGATATCAGAATCTAAAGACACCTTGCTCACCAACACTTCAGCATAGTGATTAATCTTGTTTGGAAAAAAGGAAAACAATCCGAAAGAATAAACGCATACCTGATTCAAACACCAATTTGGTAATTTGCAGCGGTTGACAGTGGCGGATCCAGGATTTGAGCAAAGGGTATTCAAAGTTGAAAAAAAAAATCATACAGAACTCAAAAAATTGGACTGGGAAAATCATACAGGAGTGGTAATGACATGTTTAAAGCCTTAAAGGTACAAACAGTAGCACAATAGTCAAGATGTCTATCTCCAACTGCACACTTGGGGACATATCACTATCATGGGCATTGGGTGCTTCAAGTAGTAGCTGAATAGGACTAGAAGGGGCATTTTCTGGGATCTGAACTTCACTCTCATTGGTTAATGGTTTTGGATCAGAGGTGGAAGCTACTTTCTGAGACTTGGTTGACCTTTCCCACAAAGACTTCAAATCTATTGTCTTCTTCTTCTTCATTTTTCAAATTTCAAGACCTACAGTTCAAATTTCTGACTAATTTAACTTCTAAGCAATAGCAATTAAGCAATGGCCAATCGATTGGGGAATTGACAAGAGGATTTATTTTACCAGTGTCAGTCCACTGTCCAGCCGTCTAGGGACCAAGGGGACGCGCCGACGCGGGGGTGCGTCGCCGCAACCGGCTGCCGCCGTGCGCCGCAACGCCGCCGCCGTCCGTGCGAACCTCAGCTGCTCAGCGTCACCCGTCCCCGAGGAGGCGGCGGTGTCGTCGCAGGCTGCGCCGCCTCCGCAGCAGCAGGCCCAGGGACCAGGGTCCAGGGAGATGAGGCTGGTGGCGATTCTGGCGAAGCGCCGAGCCGGCGGCCGGCACCGCCGAGCGTCGTGCTCTCGATGCCCCGTTGCCCGTCGGTGGGGATGAGTGGAGGCGCAGCGGATTGGGGCTGGGACGACAGGAGGGGTGGGGACTGGCTGACCGGGGGATAAGGACTAGGGTTTTGTTCGTTTTTGGGCTAGTGGGCCTATTCGTTGGGCCAAGATGGGGAGGAATGTATGGTCTGCTGCGAATAAATGGGCTTCTTTTTATTTGGGCTATACATGCTGCACTTCCTTCTAATTTCTCATGTATATATGCATAACATACCTATATATAGTTATTTTTTTAAAATTCTATGGGTATTCAGGTGAATACCCATGAATCACATGGGATCCGCCCCTGGCGGTTGATGGCAGTGCTCACCGCAGGAAGCGGCGGTGGCGCTGCAGTGAGCTATAACCAAACCAAGTAAACTGCAGTTATGGTTTGATGCGCTGATACAGAAACTGGTTCGATTTCTGGATGGGGATAAGAGGAGGTTGCCGACGCCGGCGCTGCGCTGGCCGCCGTCCGAGCGGTGGAAGGGCAAGGAGCGGCGGCGACCTGTGACTAGTTTTGGATGGGATTTATTTCACTGTGGAGTGGAATTATTCCCCTCGTATTAGGATTAAAGGAAGCCCCCAGGGCAAGTTTCATACCAGGGTAGTTGCCACATCTAATTTTATCCATATAAGATAAGATGTGATATATACAATACACCATATCTATACTATCTTTACCATACTAACCCAAATGATTTTATTTTATTTATTTGTCCAATCATCTCCTTCTTTCATCTTTTTTTTTCTTGAGATTTGTGTGGAGGCTGCCTCTTGTATGACAGATGGCTCACCTTCTCTTTTCTCACTTTTTTTTCCACAAGAGCAAGTTTAATAGTATAGCCAACTACTAGCTCCAATTCGTCTATAGCCAATCTAATAGCTCATTCATACAATAGTTACATACTACACTATTAATATCTGGGCCCACATGTCATACTCACACTGTGTCTTATAGTCCGTGCTACAGCTGGCTACAAATTTGTATCCCGCTGCTCTTCTCTTTCTCTGTTTAACTTCTTAAAATATGTTTGCAGCCAGCTTATAGCCTGCTATTGTACCTACTCTAATAGGACTGATTGGAGAGTATTTATTTCCTCCTCCTTCTCCACCTCGGCCATTGATGAGCCGAGGCCACCGCCATACTCGTTAGTGAGCCACCCAGTTGGTAACCAAAACTCTTCACCTCCACCAACAGCCATACCTCTTCCGTGAACCTTAGCCACAAAAATTCCATACTCAACTCATAGGTGTGGTTTACAATTTCGGTTTTTCCTATTTTGTCAAAGTTTATTCAAATATAGTAGGAGCGCAATTCCGAGCGTCAAACATGTCTCACCCCACATCTCGTCATCCCGCTCCCACCGTTATCAGAATAAATGATTTACATCGATAAAAATAACTCCCCTACTTTTGATCCCACCCCACGTCATGTCATCTCGTCCCTCCATTAGCGGAGTAAACGATTTACTTCAATAAAAACAACTTTGCTGCTTCCGGTATATATTCTATTTTCCTCGTACCTAACCAACCACTCTCGCTGCCACTTCGTTTTTTCCCTTTTTTTCGAATCGAAATCATCCACTATCCCAGCCCATAGATCAGTAACGGTCCATGGAGGAGGATGACTGCACCATGGTGGTTGACGGCGGTGGCCAGCGAGTGGTGGCCAGTGGCGATTGAGGCAAAGACGCTACTTCGGGCCTCATTGCCAGATGTCGGGCAGCACCTTAACCAGCAAGAAGGTGTTCACTTGGACCAAGAGCAACAATCGGCAGCCGCTCCACACCGGCGACATTGACAGAACAAGCAAGTAAGGAAATAACTCTCCTTCATCTTGTATGAAGCCCCAATTTCTTTTTGCAAATCAAATTAGCGTGCAATCTCTAATATTACCTTATCTGAATTAATGGATTGCACAGGTCCTACATTTACACATCGTGCTTCATGTGGCTGGCTGAATAGGATAGAGAGCATTTTTTCGTGCTTGCTAGATGATGGATGGTTGCTACTGCGCGACATCGAGCTCATCTCTATACCACATTGCTACATCCTTTCATAATTCCATCGCCGACTACCACTTGCCACCTGGTTGCCCTCCCCACTACCAGTACACAAGACTCTCCATCCTTATAGCAAGATCTAGAAAAGCCTCCAAGATCCCAGCTTCATGATGGATTTTTAGCCGAATCATTTTATTTCTTTTCTAGTTTGATTTACCTGTGAGTAATTTTATCACTCATGTGTGATTGAGCCTGTAATTTTTTCATTCGTGCGACCATTTTGTGATACAGATCAACAATACTCTTAGTATCAGTTTTTATTCTTATAGTGCGTATTGAACACATCAGTAAACATATTACTACACGATAGCTACGAGATCATGGGCAATATCGAGAAGAAGGTGGTAATTATTTTACTCGCAGACAACGAAGTTTCAACAATGTTTATAACACTGGTAAAGGAATAACTAGCATTGTAAACTGATAGTAATTATTTTACAGCCATCTAGAAATGATGCAATAGATGTGGGGGCATTCATGGGAGTAAATTCGTTATTTTTGAATGAGCAGATGTGGGACACTAGGAGTAAATGGAAAACTCCACAGAGTAAATTTGCTACTTTTGAAACATGAGGAGACACTAGAGAAACAGAAAGCTCGAAAAGAAAAAATAGATGATAAATATTTTACTAAAACGCAAAAACAGAAAAACTGGAGAGAAGAAGAAAAAAGGAAAAATCTGGATGGTTAATATTTTACCGGGCCCTTTGATGAAGCTCGGATGAGATGGAAAAGAGAAAAAAAAACAAACACGGAAGGTGGGGTGGTAAAAAAGGAAAAAAACGAACAGAGCAAAGGTGGGATGCAGAGGAAAAGTGGGGTGGTAAAAAATGGAAAAACCGGAAGGAGGGAACGTTATGCGGCAGTTGAACTAATATTCCGCGCGCAGCGCGCGGATTAGCGCCACTTCAAATTTTATTAAATTTTTAAATGATTTTGGTGGAAAAAGTATGAAAATATGCAAAATTTTAGAAATTTCAATGCCGCCGACATCCGAAATTTCAGCCAAAATCGAAATTGAAAACACAGTCAGTAGGTGCTTCACTTATACTTATTCCTCCACAGCTCTCTATTTATACCCGAGGTAGACAGCCTACAACCATGAACCCAACTAGTACAGGAAGTTCTAACCCCCTAGAAACCTTCCCGTACAAGAAAAAAAACTTTACAAACTTCAATCAAAGCAAATTTGGACTCCTTCAAAATTCGACTCTGCGTCCTATACGCACACAATATCTTCATCGTATGCCATATGAAATCTTCATCAACCACGTGCATCGATTTTTAGCCTAAGTATACCGCATGATATCCTGATCGCCCAAACTTCATTCTTCTCCCAAGTTGACTCCCGATCTATCACCGGCAACGCTCTCCCGAGACATCAAAACACACCTACACATGAATCAACCAAGAAACCATATCCGAGCACAAGTTCTCTCCAACTTGACTCAACGTTAACACACAAACAGTATTACATATGCATAGTATCCCTCTAGAAATCATAATATCCAAATAAACAACCCAAAACCGACACAGAATCGCCCGATCAAAGTGTTGAGCTGGCCAGTCTGACCGCTCACTATACTTCATTCTGACCGATGACCACAACCTAATCTAGTCGATCCAAAATTGACAAAACCAATCCTATTTACCATCTGAAAACCACGTATCTCCAAAATCACTTTGCCAAATATCAAAACCAATTATCTCAAATGCCAATTATGCATCGTGAAATAAATAATCAAAGCACACACTTTGATTTTACAACTTAGTCCATGATCTTGTAAACCCGACATTTAGATCCACAATCTTGTTTTAATGTACTATCCAAACCCAAAGCTCGTTTGATTGGGATTGACCGCCGACGTGGCAGTCCAACGTGGCCGCATCTTAGCATTTACCCCTCCATGACTCCGTCAACCCCGCTGTGTTCTCTGCTGGGGAGTTTGGAACTAAACTCTTCGCATGGAAAACGGAGCGGCCCATTACCATGTGATTAATTAAGTATTAGCTATTTTATTTTAAAAATATATCAATATGATTTTTTAAGCAACTTTCGTATAGAAACTTTTTGTAAAAAACACACCATTTAGCAGTTTGAAAAGCGTGCGAGCGGAAAAAGAGAGGGGTGAGTTGGGAAAGGGGGTTCCGAACATACCAGAATGGCACCATACAATCCGCAAAATTAGATGTGCATCCTCTCCGGGTTCGCATGGTCTGCCTTTGAGGCAAACGGCAAACTTTGCCGTTCATAACATCCAAAGCGTTCATCACTCAATTAACCGTTGCATGTTTAGGCCCACCTCATAGACTAATTAACAGCCAACTAATTATTAGAATTTGATGTGCTAATAAATCACTTTAACAACCTACTAATGGATATAATCAACTTAGTCATTTTGTCCTGTATTCACAATAAACAAAAGAGAAATTCTCGTACAATTAAACATTTTCTTTCTACATATCACTATGTCAGTTTTTTTATTCATTATTTTAGACACTTGTATGGTCTCCAATAAACATGTTTCACCACTAGAAAATATCTCATCTGATCATAAGTTCTTATATTTTGTGTCACACAGGTAGTATGTTTTAATATTCAAGGGTGGAGCCCAAACTCGTCGGTGAAAACTCCATTAAATTTAAATACTTTTGAATAAACTGATAATGAAATTTCTATTCTATAGCAAATGATAGTTACGGTGAAGTATTCCAGGGCTCAAATTTTTTTCTAACTACGCCACTATTTATATTATATAACACACACACACATATGTGTGTGTGTGTGTATATATATATATATATTATAAGTTTATTAAATTAATAAAGAAAATATTTAAGTTTATTAAATTATTTAGTGAGACTAATTTATACATTGTGTTCTAATTTCTTCGAACCAAATGTTTCAAATATTATTGATAGTCAAAATATTAATTGTTTGACTCTAATTTTATTCAAAAGGTTAAGAATTATGGAACGAGAGACAAGTAAATATATTAGATGTGGTTCTATATTCTTTCTGTTTGGCACAAATTTACCAATGGTGCGAGCTCTATTTTTCCTTGTTTTATTGCGGAGATCATTTTGTTGGCTTTCCTAGCTAGAGAGCAAACAACTAGTAATTCTGAATTAATTGGCTAGTATTAAGTACATAACATAGTTTATAAAGTGGGAGTGTCAGCGTCGGACCAAATAATCAAGCTGTTGGTTAAGAGACGAATGGCCTGGCTGCAAAAAGGGCAATTTTTGCCTTTTGCCGTAAAAGCAGACGATGCGAACCCATCTTGTCCCTAGCGGCATTCCTTTGCTCCCAGCTCACAGCGAAGTCCAGCGGGACCTCTCCAGTGCGATCTCATTCATCCGCTCAAAACTCCTCCCAACACCAGCGTGCTGCTTGTCGGCACACTCAGGAACAACCATGCCGCTATGGCAGCCCGTTGAACTTGTACTCCTTGTGCTCCTCGAATAACATCTCGTGCATATCAGATTAGTTCAGTGCATGCAAGCTAGAACCAATTAACATCTAGAAATAATAATCATGTGCAATATATTCAGATGTATGCGAGAAAAGACAACGTGCAGCTTAGACTCGTCAAAGAAATGGATCTCTAGCTGACCAGTTCGATCAACTCATTTGCAATGATTGTTCTTGCCAAGTTAAAAAGTGAAGTAACTAACAAAAGCTAAACGCACCGTCATGAAACAAACAATATATTCCCATACGTACTACAGTTCAGTTCAGAAAATATTATTTCGTTACCGAGTATGGTTATATCATCAAGAATAGTTAGCAATTCAGTTTACATGACCACAGTAAGCATTTTCTAGTTAACAATCCACCTACTATTTTCCATCGACCAAGATCTTCACTTGAAATAAATAGTCCCTTCATAGTATAAGACGTTTTGATATGTTTTTAAACAAACTTACTTAAGCTTAACTATGTCTAAGAAATATAGCAATATTAACAAACCAAATTAGTTTCATTAAATATATCTTTGATACTATGCTTGTTTTGTTATTGAAAATGTTACTATACTTCTCCATAAACTTAGTCAAATTTAAAAATGTTTGACTTAGAAAAAAACAAAATGTTTTATAATATGAAATAGAGAGGAAGTAATTGACTACACGAAATCATCCCATATGACATGCAGATTCTGCAGGAGCCGGTGAGCTGAAACCCAGCTCAATGTTGATGCCCTACTACATTCTGGGTCTTCCTCTGGAACCTGACTATTCAGCTTCTTACCAATGACCCAGATTCATCACATATTCACATTCTCATGGAAGCCACAGCATCTGCCAATTCTAATAGAACTTGATAATGATCACAGCTAACTGAATGTATTCCAACCTCAAATTCATGCCAAAAGAAAATAAATAATAATTTAGTGAACTTTGCCTCATGAACAGCCTTACTGTTCCTCCCAGAAAATGATATATATGAATTTAACTAATAAGGTCACATATGCTGCCTGGTTAAATGTTTCATGTCAGACTGCAATTACAAAAATTTTATCATAAACTGAAATCACCGAACTGCAGAAAAGTTTCTTTGACAGCACAAAGTTTTGCACAGACATCTTGCATTCCAGGTCTGTCTTTCGGAGATACCATGGAACATGACAGGCCAAGTGCAACTAACGGCTTAATACAGGCCTCAAACCATTCTGCTGGATACACTTGGTGCTCCTCGTGCATCATATAGGGATCTAGAATCTCTGCAACTCTATCTGGGAACATGGAGTCAATAAAGTTATGAATGCTAACTCCATCCGCAAATGTATCATCAGTTGGCTGCTTTCCTGTAAGCATCTCCAGAAGCAGCACTCCAAAACTATACACATCGCCTCCTGTTGAGATTTGACAGCCCATTCCATACTCTGTAAAAGTGAATAACTACATTGAATTACTACAGTTATATCAACAAAAAAAAAACATACTAGTTAAGAAGAGAGAGAAAAGGAACACACCTGGTGCAATGTACCCAATAGTTCCTCCTATATCAGCTAAGCTTTCCAGACTGACCAGATCTGGAAATAGAAACTTTGCTGACCCAAAATCACCTAGACGCGCGGTCATGTCATCGTCTAAGAGGATATTGCTCGGCTTCACATCACAATGGACCAAAGGGGGTGTTAGATGGTTGTGGATATAATCCAGAGCAGAAGCCACCTCAGTTGCTATGCATATTCTCTGACCTAAGCATAGCACTCTATCTTTGATTCCATAATGCTGCTCAGAGTACAACCATCTTTCAAGGCTACCATTAACCATGAACTTGAAGATTAGCGCTTTGAATTCATGGTTTTCTTTGTCCAATGTTGAACATAGGGTCAAAGGTCTCATTAGATTCCTATGGCGGGTGCTTCTTAGCACTTCACACTCAATAAAGTAACTCTCATATGCACCAGGCTGATTCAAGTTGAATACTTTGATAGCAACTAGGCTTTTGTCAGACTTAAACCTACCAACATAAACTGATCCAGTATGGGTTGAACTTATTGTATGGACTGAAGAAAACCAATTAGTAGCTTTAAGAATGTCACCATATGAGACCTTCTTCAGCGTCTCATTGTTGATTGGAGTTGTTGGCACTTCCCTTCTCTTTGGATTGGACGAACAAAGCATGTTGAGCATGCCACTGAATTGTCTGAGCACATCAGTGCACTGTCTATGCCCATAATTGAACCATGAGAACGAAATCATCCTTCTCTTCCATAGAGTGACAAGAGCGAAAATTAAGCATAGAGCTGAGAATAAAGCAATAGTAATGGAGGGAATAACTTTCAGTAGCAGTCGTTTATTGTTCTTCGTTTTAGCTGGTGAGCTGGGGCATATCGGCAAGTTCAATATGTGAATATTCGCACATAACCCTTTATTTCCTTCCAGGCTTACAGAATTTGGTCTTTGAAAGATACCACTGATGGGAATTGGCCCTTCAAAATAGTTGTATGATAAATTTAGGTGGGCTAGGCTGATAAAGTTCTCGAAGAACACAGGAACTTCACTGGATAAGTTGTTCTCAGAGAGATCAATTCGTTGAATGGCATGCAGTGAAGTTAATGCCGGTGGTATATTCCCAATGAGATTGTTGCCTTCCATGTTTAGGGACAAAAGAACAACACACTGGCCGAGTGAAGAAGGAATTTGGCCTGACAACTGGTTGTTGGAAAAATTTAGGAGGGCAAGATTGCTCAGAGTACCAACTTCTTGTGGTATTGAGCCTGAAAGTTTGTTGTTGGACAGATCCAAACCCAAGGAAAGAGAAGACATACTGACAAGTTCATCTGGTATGGATCCATCTAGGCTGTTCACTGATAAGTTTAGCATATTTAGCATTTTGCACTGCCCTATTCTTGCTGGTATTTTACCAGATAAATTATTATTATCGAGATAAAGCTTGCCAAGTTGAGAAAGATTACCAATTGTAGATGGGATTTGTCCAGACAATTTATTCATGGATAGATTCAGTATAAACAATTTCCTCAAGTTCCCAATAGTCAAGGGAATTTCTCCTGACAGCATGTTCGAGTTAATGTCGAGTAAAGTTAGATTAACGAGGTTCCCTAACTCATCTGGAATTCTTCCGGAAATTTGGTTGCCCCCAAATTTAAACCACTCAAAATTCGTTGAAAGGTTGCCAACTGATTTCGGCAGGCTACCATTCAGGTTATTCCCTTCCATCGACAATTGTAACAGTTGTGTACAATTTGTCAGAGCAGTAAAGAATGACCAGTCTTCAGCTTCTAGCCTGTTATTTCCTAGGAAAAGTTTATTCAAGTTTATCAAGGATCCTAATGCTGGTACAAGCCCACTTAGCAAATTGCTAGAGAGATCAAGCATTTGTAGGTTTGATGCATTGGCCAGGGAAGTTGGAATTGATCCATCAAACCTATTCAGAGACATGACCAACGATTTGAGATTTGGAAGTGTGTGACCAATGTCAGGAGGTATCTTTCCAATAAGACTGTTGTTTCCTATACCAAAAAATTCAAGCGACGACTTATTGTACAGTGTGACTGGGACAAACCCTGATAATCTGTTTCCACTCAGATCTAGCTTATTCAGGTTTGCGATTTGACTCAAGGATTCTGGAATTGGTCCTGATAAATTGTTTTGTCCTAGCAGTATGGAACTTAGAGATGAAATATTTGCTAGGGATACTGGTATTCTTCCAGAAAGCAAGTTTCCAGTAAGACCAAGAAATCGAAGAGTGGCCATCTTATGGGGAGGGGGAATTATGCCAGAAAAAGAATTCATTTGGAGATCAACAGTGTCGAAACTAGATTTCGGCAATAATAAAAGGGGGTGGCTATCAAGCTGGAAAAGTGTATGGGTTTGGAGACAAAAGATTTATACAGGTTCAGGCCTTCTTATAAAAGAAGTAATACCCTACTCCTGTCCGGGGATGAATCCGCCGAGTGTATTATTGATTGTATGATTTAGAGAAAATCAACATCTGCCCCTAGAGGCGCCCGGACCCCCCTTATATATGGGAAGGAGTCCGGGTTACAAAAGATAATCAATATCCCTAACGGAATACACAGATATAGATTAAATACAGCCGTAACCGACTAAGTCTCAAGGTGTTTCCTTGTTGTACAAGTTAAGAAACAAACCCGAGATACAAATAAGATATTCTATACATATTCGGTATCCTATATCCAGCCCAAATAGTATTGCCGTGTAGATATGGGATATCCATAATCTCCACAGTAGCCCCCGAGACCTTTGCAGTCAACCATCGTAGCCTTCTCAAAGATAGCAATCCGAGTGCTTCAGATTATTCATGCCAAGGCCCACCGAGTAGCGAAGACGAAGACTGTAAAGGGCGAAAAGATAAAGAATATGGTGCATCGAATAGATGCACCTAATTAGGTGTAGCCCCCAACTATGTGATTAGTTAACAAACTAAACATATAGTTGAGAACAATATAATAACACAATCATGCACTAGATGGCAAAAGCATATGCGGCGCCTAAAGAGGTATTCTAGCCGACTGCTTTTTAGCCATAATAAAAAGAATCCGAGTGGTTTACACTCGAAAAGGTTCACGAATGAACACACTGGACAGGCATCCGAATATAAAACTATAAAGATTACCCACCAAATATTATAAAAATTATGGTAACAAAAAAGACTAATAGCCTAGGCTATGTCAAGTTACCACAATAAAAATAGGTATATAACATACCAAGGAAATGACTATGATAAAAACAAGTCATTCCAAGCTAACCCAAACAGCTTTTGTAGCCTAAAAAAGCTTACAAAAACAGCATAACGCTTTTCTGCAGGGCACCTTTTAATTTGCATTGCAATAACTCCAAAGAATTATATGACCGCATAAAAAGGATTTTGTCAGCATTGGGCAACACTATTGTGTGCATAAATATTGCCAAAGCAAAATATGCCTAAGTCCCTAAGGAACACAATGGGCCACGCTGTTAAAAGTATTGGGCTGAGGTACTGTTCAGGCCTAGGCCCATTTGCACCTCCGATACCCTTAACAAAAAATCCGAGATCCAAGCGACGCTTCGTCTTCCCCGCCGGAACGCTCGCCATTTTCCCCACTCCTTGCTACAGTAAAGAGCTGCGCCGGCGAACTAGGGTTCATCAATCCGTCCAAATCCACCTTCGAAAAGTGATTAAAAATCCTCCCCGTGATCCACCGCCTCAATTCCTCACCTCTCCCAAGCCATCCATCTAATCAAATCAGCGCATTCGGGTAAAATCGATGGCGGAGGAGAAAGAAAGCTTTGAAGGCCAATGGGCGCCATCCGACGTAACGGAAGAGAACTTGAAGGAGATGGTGGCGCACGGCGTTCTCCCAGCCAAGGAGATCATCGGGTGGCGGCCAGCGTGCGGTGAGGCTTTTCCGACCCCTGATACACATGAGATCGTAGTCTTCTCGCATTTCTTCTATGGCGGTTTCGCTCTTCCGACCTCGAAATTTTTCCGCGGGATCTTAAACTTCTATGGAATCAGCTTGCATCACCTAAACCCAAATTCCATAGTGCATATCGCCAATTTCGTCCATGTTTGTGAAGCCTTTTTGGGAATCAAGCCTCACTTTGCCCTGTTTCGCCGAATCTTCTTCCTCAAACCCCAACCGAACAAGAGCAAACCGTGCGTAGTCGGGGGGGCAGGATTCCAGCTAAGGGGAACTCTGAGCCAAAAATATTTCTCTATGCCCTTCAAGACTTCAAACAAAGGGTGGCATGCAAACTGGTTCTACATTCAGAATCCTGAGCCTGCTCTTCCCGGGTACTCTTGTCTTCCTCCGGTGTACCAAGATACCTGGAACTCCCTTCCAATCGGAGATGAAGCAGTCCAAGCCTTGGAGTTGATGGACCGCATGTTAAAACTCAAAGAACAAGGCTTGCAAGGAGAGCAGATTACTCGGCATTTCATCAAATGCCGACTGGCGCCAATTAAAGAAAGATCCCGTACAGCTTTTGAGTTCGACGGCAAGCATGATCCTAATCGTGAAGAACCTGACTCTCTGGATTTCAAAATCATGAAGGAGAGAATGTATAAAATCTTCTCAAATGCCATTGTCGTTAGCTACTCACACCAGCTGCCAGTTGTGCCATATAATGCATTCAATCCGCCTCCGCAGGTATGTATCTGAAATCTTCAACTTATGACCAAAATAGTATCTTGTTTTCATGTTGAATTAACTAACCATGGAGGCATCTTATTCAGGAATATGTATTGATGAAATCCGATCCCCCAATTGCTCAGCGACGATCTCCTCGCCAGCACACCATTCAGGGAAGTGGAGGGCCGACAATCAGGTCAGACCCACAACCTCAAACCTCCAAACCGGCTGGGCAGACAGGTCCTCGCAAGAGAAAGCTGGTGCTTAATGACGATGAGGGCGATGACAGCAACAAATCTGGGGACAAGGGCACGCCCAACAAACTCCCGAAGCATACCATGCCCAGGAAAAAACTGGCTGGCCGTCAAATGCCAAAGATTAGAACGTCTTCCAGGTATAAACCTCTCGATACCATTTTGTTTCGGCATGCTTCCCTTATAGAAATTATGCTAAATATCGAAAGGGCACTTTGCAGGAAACCGTCCGATATAGATCCAACCGGAAAAGATCCTGATCCGGCTGTGACAGAACAAAATATATCCAAGGACGCTGAGCCGACTGCTGAAAGCCAGCCGACTGCCGAAAGCCAGCCGACTGGCGCCCATGCTTCGGATGACAAGGCCAATCCGAGTGACCAGCCGTCGACTGGAAACCAGTCGGCAACAACTGAAACTGCAACAACCCGAGAGCCCCCAACTGGAAACCAGTCGGATGTAGGTCCTGATCAAGAAATCCCTGAAGTTGAAGCGCAAGCGACATCTTCTCAAGGACCAGAGGCTGGAAATGACTCGGTGGTTGGCTCTCCAGATAAAGAACAAGGATCATCTCGCGCTCAGCCAGGCACATCCTCAGGTAACTCATCTTCTCAAGTGATATCGTTCTGAATAACTCCAGCTTGCTCGTCTAATGTCTTGGAAATACATCAGGAACACTAGGCGATGACGAAGAAACAATTCCTCGCATAAAGGCGGCTGATGACTCCCGTCCCCCTATCTTACTCAAATGGTGGGACGAGAACTCGCAAGTCGCCGGCATCGTTATAAATCGTCAAAAAGAAGATGAGGAAGTGTGCCAGCTGAAGAAAGCACTTGGAGAAGCCACTCGCATTGTGAATGTAAATCTTCCGGGTGACTACCTTTAATAACTTTGTTCTCTCTTTAGCAGAACTGAACCATGATCCATCATGCAGAGAATCCATCTTCGCAATGAGGCCAAGACTACAACTTTGGAAAAGCTGGTTCCTCATTTGGGAACTCTAGAAGCAGTTAGGGACCAGCTGCATGAGGCCAAGGAGTGCGCCAAAAAGACAGAGAAGGAGTTAAGGGATCGAATTGCCCAGCTCCAAGATTCAAACTTCGAGCTAAGTGGTTCATCAAAAGGTAATCATCCAGATCTGTTCCATTGATTTATGCTGTCATAATTGTATCCTCAAACACTTGGATTTCAAACAGCGCAAGCCACCAGAATGGCTCAGATGGAGAAACAGATTGAAGCCTTGAAAAAAGACAAGGTAGAACTGGCTGCGGAAAGGGACTCAGCCTTGAAGGAGGTTGAAGGTACTGACAACTGACAATTTGAACTGTCCTCTCTTTAATGCAGCAGATTCTTATTATAAATGTATTTTGTAGACCGTAAAATCAAATCTCAAGCTCAGTTTGATGTCCTGGTTGGTAAGATCAAGAAGCTTGAAGGAGCAAGAGACGAAGTCGCCAATGTCGCTACACCACTCGTCCAAGCTATGTTCCTTAATAACAGTGGTCCGAGTGCACTTGACGCAACCGAAATCTTTGACAAGCTAAGAGTTGCACCGGATGTATACTTCAAGAACATCAAAAAAGCTGGAAGCATGGGAGCTAGCATGGCATTAGCGATGACCAAATCCTTGTACCCGAGAATTGAAATCGACACCATTGATGGATTTGCAGATGGGACAAGCGAAGAAGCTGCTCTTGATCTTATCAACAATGCTCAAAGTGCGGCTGACAAGATTGCAAGTGATGTTGTAGAGCAATTCCGCAACAACGACCTTCAGCCGAGCAATAATAACTCTGATGATGAAAGGACTGATTCTGACTGAGTGTAAATGTAACGAATGGAGGTTTAATTTGTACTATACTGGTGTATTTATGCTGTGCTTGATAGTTCTAGCCAAGTCTTTGATTTCTTAAAAGTTTTTATCAAGCTTTGTTGAGCCTAAAACCCAAATAAGCTATTAAAAACTTTCAGTCCTCGCAAACTAAGTAGAAAAAACCAAACAAGGCAATGATAGACCAAGTAAGCAAATTAAATTGATAAAAAATCACACTCCATTATTATGATGATAGCCCCCGACTGACAACTTCAAGAAGAAAACTTGATGTTGACAGTCAAGATAGGGAAGTACAAAGATAAACTTAAGCGTAGAAACGACGAAGATGCTCAATGTTCCAAGAGTTGTCGACAAGAGTACCGTCTTCGCGCTTGAGTCGATAAGAACCTGGCCGGGTGACTTCAGAGATAATAAATGGCCCTTCCCATAGAGGAGATAACTTGTGCCGATCTCGTGTAGTTTGAATTTTCCTCAGAACCAGGTCACCGACTAAAAAGGCACGAGATCGAACATTGCGATTATGATAGCGCCGCAACCCTTGTAAATATCGAGCCGACCGAATCAAAGCTGCTTCGCGGGCTTCTTCCAATCGGTGCAAGTCATCCACTCGGTCCTCTTCGTAGCGTTCTTCACGGAAATTTCGAAAGCGCAAAGACTCGAAT